TGAGTGGTTGAAATAGCACGTCAATAAAGATGACAGACAAGTGGCTTATCCAATCATATGCAAGGAGTTTTGATAAGGCCCAGCCTTCAGTAAAGGCAATTCCTATGGCGAGTTCCCAGATGTATGTGAGCGGAGCTAGGCGGAGTGAGACATGCATCTGGCTGTTGTCAGGTTATGTTTCCTTACCTTTTGGACAAAATAAAAAACCAACATTGCTGATATTGCTTCTCTGGCCCAATTAAGCATCTTCAATCCTTCCCTGCATCACTTTAACATCAGATTACTAAACAAACAGCATACGACCGCTCTCTCCCACTCCTCCAATGAAAACAGCAACTAGATGGAAACAAACAGCAGTTCTTAATATCAGCCCCGATAAACTTATCAGATCGATACTGATACTCTTAAAAATGAACAATATTGACCAATATGGATATTATAAGTCTGATATATCTTGCATCCCTGGTAGAAATGTTTGCTGGTAGCTACAGACTGTTAACCTGACAACAGCCAGATGCATGTCTCGCTCCGCCCAGCTCCACTCACATATGTGATGTATGTGAGCGGAGCTAGGCGGAGTGAGACATGCATCTGGCTGTTGTCAGGTTAACAGACTGTATTATCCACAGTAAAGAGTCAGAGTCTGGTTCTCTGGGCGCAGGTCCAGTAAAATACAGCCTGGCTCACATTTCTGAGCCTGTTGGAGTTTTAGCTTTGTTAAAAAAGATAAAGTATTGAGTCAGAGCTCACTGCATTGTTTTCACTGAAAAGATGGAAGAAAAAGGAAAAGAGAGTATTCCTTCCTTCTGTGACTCCTTTCCTCCTTCCTTACCTACTTTCTTGGTATCTCCCTTGTGTCTGTCTGTCCTCCCTAATTTTACCTTCTTTTTCCTCTTCATTGTCTTTTCTTCCTTCTTTCTGTTTTTCTTTTTGCCTATTCCCTTTTCTGATTTCCTATTTATTTCCTTTTTGTGTCCTTACTTCCTCACCTCCTTGTTTCCTGCCTTCAGTCTTTCTTTGTTCATTAATTTTCTGTTTGATAAGGCACCTGTTTGAACTTCAGTTTTTTCATATTTCTCTGTAAATGTTTTAAATTTGAATACAGAAATAAAAAGCTGCAAACTGCTAAACCCTAAGTCTGGAGAAGTTTGGAATTTTTACAGGAAAAATGTATTGGAACCCTGTAATACCCTGTAAAGATTGATGCAGACATGGGTCTTAATCTAAGCTCTGACTGTCTCCCATGCATGCAGGTATGCATCTGAACAACCAGCTGCTGCAGCTGATTGGTTTGAGGTTTGCAGATGNCTGCTCAGTAATAGAAGTAAGACGCTGAAGCAGCTTGCGGACTCTGCTGATCAACTCCTCTCCAGATCCAACAGTAGCCCTCTCAAAGCTATCTACAAGAACCCTCAAGGTACAAATCAGTTACAATCAAGGAATCAAACTCCAAGGTGCAACGCTAACTGAACTGTCTCTCACGCAGACTCCAGTGAACCAGTTTCCAGGCCCGAACCAGAGCCAGTCATATCAGTGTGCTTGTGCAAAATAAACTTGTTAAACTTTTACTCCTGTGTCCGTCCGTGGTGTTCTGCATATTTGGGTCGCTCTCTGTGCACCCATCATGACAGAAGGCCTGTATCTTGAAACAATTGGCTTTGCTGTGTATGAGGTGAGTAAAATGTTCCCGTGCTGCTGGGTTAGAGATAAACAGTGAAGCACTCTGATGCATAAGAGCATCATCCTTTTCACCATGAGGAAAAAGGAAAAAAAGAAAAAAAGAAGAAAAGAAAAAAAAAGAAAGGATGTCTTTTCTGAGTTATTTTTACACAGAAATTTTACATTAAAACCTAATTACTGGAGTTACTCAGTCATTTAGTTTCAGGAGGAAACTAATCCTAAGCCTTCTGGGCAAGTCTTGTTTCCTCCTGGATCTCCTGACATTATCTTCTGCTTTTTGAAAAATGTTTTTCCATCAAATTAAAGTCGATGCTGATTCTTAGATTTGGTTAGAGGAGTAGTGTGTGTTCTTCCTGAAGGAGACACAGCACCATACTGACATAAGAGCATCAGGATCCTTCCTACACAATAATCCACTCTGTTTGATGCTGTGATCATTCCACCTCAGCCGGGCTGAAGATGATCTGTTAGCGTTTATACTCAGAGCCCATGTCTTTCTCCCTCTGGTCATAAAGGCTCCAGAGGATGACGACCAAGTGGGGAAGGATTTCTTCCGCTACCACCCCTCCAAGGCTCGCAGCAGGACGTACATCAACATGCGGGAGGTGTCCGAGCGCTTCACCCTGCCTCCTGGGAAGTACCTGCTGGTCCCCACCACCTTCCAGCCCCACCGCGAGGCCGACTTCCTCATCCGCATCTTCTCAGAGAAAGCAGCCAAAGCCATGTGAGTGTTCAGAGTCCACTGATGAGTCCAGTGAACTTCTACTGTTTACAGCTAGTAGAAACATCTGGACTTCTTCTAAACATCATGTTGACATAAAATGACCCTCATGGTGTTGGCCTCTTTGTTGCTGTTAAAGCAGCTTTTAAAAAACTTCATGATGACACCTGTTTTGTTTAACAGAGAGATGGGGACCAACGTGGACGCAGACCTGCCAGAGGTAATTAAACCCCAGACAATAACAGATGTTTAGTGGCTCTGCTGGTACTGAGGCTGAATGTCTTCCTGCAGCCCCCGATGCCCAGCCCTCC